TTATGACAGCAGTATGTATTTGATTTCTCCCCACAGCAACTTGTCTTGCATTTGTGTGACTGGTCAATGCACAATGCTCGCAGGTGATCAACACAAGAAAGACTGTTAATTTTAGCTATTTTTAAGCTCTTAATACGCAGCAGTAAGAGCTTAAGGACACTGCAATGTAATGTGTCACTGTGATTTGTTGACTGCATCCACAAACACAGCTGAGTGAGTTAGGTTAGCGGGAACTGGAAAAAGATTTTCTGTCACCATCCCTGTCCAAAAACAAAAGTTTTAGTTCATCTCCAAAACACAAATGAATATGGGGTTTTTCTTTCAAACTACTCATCACACAATTTTGTTTCTGTGTGATGTTTTGAGATTAATGATGTGCACCAGAAGGCATTCTTCAACAGCCCTGTTGGCAACAGGTATTCCTTGACCTTTAACAGTAAACAATGTTTAAATCATACTACCTGAAAACACACTTTGCTTGTTTTCCATTTGTCTGAAAAGATTTAGACCAATTTATATAATTTTTAATCACAAAATATTGTGCATAGATAACAGTCTTAGAATTCCTTTATTGTTCGAGCTCTAGCTGCCAATGGACTGATTCTTATAGCGCTTTTCTACTCTCCTGGAGCACTCTATACATGCTGCATTCACCCAAGCACTTTGTTCTCTTAAGCTAATATTCACACACATTCATACTCCAATGGAGTTAGTATCTTGCCCAAGGACACTTGGCTACTTGAATACTGGGAACCACCCAACCTTCCAATCAGTAGATGACCTGCTCTACCTCCTGAGTTACAGCCACCCCATAGATGTAGCCTGAGTTTCGATCATGGAGGCACTTAAGTCAGCACAAGGCCCCGTTGGCTTGCATGACTGTCATGCAGTCATGCATGCAGATTTCAACTGTGATCATGGCACTTAAAAGAATCATTTGAGTCATTTGTTTTTTGGTTTTCTGTTTTTTGAGGGGGGTTTTGCCATGTGTGATAACTTCACTCTTAGAGATGGAGAAAAAAATGAGTAAGAGAAGACAGGAGAGGAAGATGAGAGGTTATTTTTAAAGCAAGACCTGCCGATAAACTGGAAATGTAAAGCTTAAATGTGAATTTGTGTGAAGTATGTTAGATTTTGACAGTAAATCTACATGATAGGTTGCTCAAGTTATCTTGCCATTTTATATAGAGAAATATCTTTAATATCAAATTAAATGGTAAATGGACTGGTTCTTGTAAAGCACTTTTCTACTCTACCTGAGCACACATGCTTCGTATGCCTCATTCACCAATTTAAACACATTCATACAAATTCATACTCTAGCAGACACGTCAGAGATAAACCTGGCCCACATAGCAAAATTGGTATGGCCTGGATCTGGCCCACACAATGTGCTTACACATGGCCCACATATCGCAAAGAATGACGGCCCTTTGGTGGCCCACATTTGGTTTGCCAGATGTGGCCCACACATGGGCCAGCACAAGGCCAGTTGCAGGCACACTGGTGGTCCTGTGCTGGTCCATGTGTGGGCCACATCTGGCAAACCAAATGTGGGCCACCAAAGGGCCGTCATTCTTTGCGGTATGTGGGCCTATGTAAGTTTTGTGCACCCACGGGCCAGTTGCAGACACACTGCTGGCCCTGTGCTGGCCCAGAACAGTTTCAGCTCTGGCATCAGATGTCAGTCTAATGTGTACCTTAATCAAGCCATGTAATAACAACATGCGCCAGAACATGCAAAACAGTGCAAAAGTAACGTGAAAAAACTCTGTTCAGACAGTGAATTGACTGACTCTTATATAGCGCTTTTCTAGTCTCCCAGATTACTCCAAGTGCTCTATTCAACATGCCACATTCACACACTTTCTCTAAACTGAGTGCTTCCTAACTACATTCACACACATTCACGCAGACTAGAGGACCCAGGGATCAAACCACTAACCTTCCGATCAGTGGGTGACCTGCTCTACCTCCTGAGCTACAGCCAACCAGTGGTACACATGAGTAAACCCTCACTAGGTTTTGGATAAAGTGTACACTCACAAACCTGTCAAACCTGCATTAGAAACGTTGGCTACCATAGCAGTATAGTATTGCAACATGGCATTTTGGTCTTCTACCTAAAATAGGAAAATAGGAACATAAATATCATTGCCAGACCTGGCCCACATCTGGTTGACATACACCCTGCCATGACACCAGCCAATCAGAAGTGCCAGCTTGATGTTGGATCCGGGCCAGACCTGTTTTCTATGAGCCTGGGCCACATAAACCAAAGCACAATCAAGCCAGATGTGGCATGCCATCACATAAACAGTGCCATCTATGCCAGGCCTAGCCCATATCTGGATGGCATACGTCTTATCATGTCAGAAGTCAGCCAGCAGTGCCGGCTTGATACCACATCCGGGCCAGACCTCCTTACTATGTGGGGGGGTTTGCATGTCGGCATGCAGACTGGGATCCAAACACTAAACTTCTGATTAGTAGATGGCCTGCATGACATTCCACGTTATTCAACATTGGTACAGTTTCAACACAATATCACAGCAAAGCATGTCATGTCAGACGCGCCAGTCCACTGTGTCCATTTCACACTTTGCCTCTCCAAAGCGTGAAATGTACTCACACACAGAAGTTGCAGTACCAACAGGGGAGATCATTTATTTAAAGCTAAGAAGTTACTATTGTGCAAGGAAGGTATGACGTACATTTCAGGGTCCTTCTATGCCAGAAATGATTAAGCTAGGTGGCTAATATGTATTTATATGTAAATGTGTTCGTAATGTCTGCCTGATTATTTTCATGTTTACTTGAAATAAAATATCTCTCTGCAGGTCCTGCAGCTTACTGCAACTTCTGCATGTGTGTCCATTGAATGCTGTGGACCGTTATGTCTGTTACAGGGCCAAGTGTATCCAAGCCACTGCTAGAGGAGCAGGTCCTGGGTAGCAGCAGAGATGTTATCAGAGTGGCATGTCACTCAAAGAAATCTGAATTGAGATTAGAATTCTAAAACGAAAGCATCGATCATATTTTGCTGGATGTTCTGTATATGCAGTTTTTATGTCTCCTTGACCACTGAAATAAAAGTTAATTCAGATGTTGCTTCCAAATATGAGCAAAGATGTATTTCAACATGGCTGCTTAGTAACAGGACTTGCTTGTATTTGTCTTGGTGCTGGTGACATCTGGCTCTCAGAGTAATAGTTAATCACGAAGGGTAGCAGAGGGCATCTTTTAGTGTTAAAGTTCAGTTTCTTTAGCTTCAATATGTTGACAACCGGTCAAGAGAACAAGATCGGGGACAGCCAATAAATATGCATTTACATGTGTTTTAACTTAAAAAAGAGCAGTCTTCACTTTGTATATTATTATTTTTAAAGGCTCAAGATGTGATTAAACTAATGAAGTTGATAAAGAAAATATTGTCCAAGCACACACATCTTTTAACTGTGGGAGGAAGCTGGAATACCTGAAAAGCAACCCCCCCCAGGAGATTTGAACCAGGAACCATCTTCCTGTGAGGCAACACTGCTAACCACTGCAGCTACTCTATGTTTAAAAGAAATGCTTTTTATTCTGGTGCAAAATCAACCTTTCTAATGGACTTGGACGCTATAAAACCCTAACGTTTAATGTACAATGGCATAAAGCTGGAGCACATCCTCATACTGTGTTGAGTTTTGCAAAAACGCCTTGAACTGAAATCATTACACAATTACAAACACTGTCACAGGATTCTTGTTAATAATGCCAATGAATAGCAAATGCTGCTTCCACCCTCCCTATCAGATAATTATGCATTTACAATGTGTTATTGTGTGGAATATCAACGCTTTCTTCTTATGCTGAATGTATAAATAGAGAGAGGGTAAACTAAATTTTGTGTCTGATGTTTTGTCTAAGTCACTTCTGTAAGAAATGACTGTACTGCATAACTGAGATTTCCACATTGTGTGGGAGAATAATCACGATAAAATAATCCTTTCAGAGCTGACACTCACACTGCCCACACTGTTATCATTAGCCTACCAGTTGGTCTTCTTGAATTAGAAACATGCTGGATCTGCATGTCCTCTCATCCTCAGCCACAGGCGACAACTGACATAGCTCCTCTGAGCTCACAACTCCTCACTGGAGCGGAAGATACAGTGCGTACATCCCCGCATGAGACTGCAACATACAGCACGTCTGACATCTCATCAACCTTTGCATTTAATGTCGAGATAAGCTCATTTTCGGCCAACGTAACCTTGACTGCTTTTCTCCACAAAAACCTCCATCCAGCTGTGCCAGTGCGGTCTGCACAGGCACATCCAGTCCAACAGCATCGAGGTATTCCTTCATCAGTTATGTCTGACTGGCACGGAGCGAAAGCCACATTACATGTCCAGTCATTCGTTATGTGTCTTTTGAAGCCCACAGCCCCCCCGCAATACCCTAGCTTATTATTCACGATCTCTTTGGGGAAATCCTTCAAATTTCGACACACCTTCTCTTTAGCTCCACTGGCTTCTTGTCAGCACTATTTTCTTTGCTAGCGGCTCGGCGCCGATCACATCCACAAACTTTGACTTGCACTGATATTGATGACGCGTTGCGTGGAGACATTTAACCGATTTCTGCTGAACACATCGAAGATTTTCGTCAAAATATGTTAAGGATTTGACAGCTTAAGAACAGAGCAATACCACCTCAAATCAGCCGACAATTTGAAAGGCGACAGCAGCATACATTCCCACGCGCGAGCCTGGCACGTTCTCAGGGCTGCCGCTGGATCTTCCATTAACGCCGCTGCAGCTCAGGGCAAAATAAATGTGAAGCATACGGCTGTTAATGACAGCTGTCACATTACGAAGCGCGTCTAAAGGTATCACCGGGTATCGTTCTGTTACCGGTGTGACTCATTCCAAAACAGGTAGCGGATGTATTGATAAACTGTTGTATCCTGTCACGCGCTCCAACCTGAATCTATCAATTAAAGCACATCTTACCTCTGGCAGCTCCTTACACCATCGCTGAAAGGACGCACCGGCTGCTAAATCCAAAAGCACGTCGGTATCTGGAAGCAAAGCGATGACTACAGAGTCACCGGTGGAATGTGTGTGTATGTGTGTGACTCGCTTGGATGTGCGTTTTTGCGTGAGCGTGGATGTGGGGGCACGGGTGGCGCAAGACAGCCGTCCGCAAACGATAAATTACCAACAGGCAGCCAGAATGACACCGGAAGACCGGCGGGTTACAGCAAGTTTTAATGAATTAATATGGCTTACCTACCAAAATTAGACTGGGGTCTTTCTGGAATTTGTACTATCCTCAGGTCATCCTTTGACAGAGGTGTCGTTATATACGAGCCTCCAGGCAGACATGTGTTCGAACTGTTTCATATATACCTAATGCAGATCTGCTTTTTTTTAACGTGTAAATGCCCTAAACAGCATATCTAGCCTTTGGCAACCATGTGACACCAACAGTGACTACTGCAATCAATAATTCAAAATCAGTCCAAAATATTTGAGTCTTTTTCTGATACTGATACAGCATACATTTATGTAAATACAATCAAGTGTATTTTATTTTGAAACAGAAAGGAAGTGCAATTTTGTTACTGCAACAAACTTAACTCCGGGGGAAAAGGGACTTGGAGAATTGAGGGTTAAGATAAAGGAAAACAGGAATCTTAGTGTGTTGATAAGGTTTTTATTCAATGTAATTTTGAGCAGAGACTCCATTTCCAGCCTTCTACTAAACTATATGCAGCAATTTCTCATTTTGCTGTATCAGTTTATCATAGAAATGTCTTTATGTATAAATTTGGAGGTACACAAAAATTATGCGTGAGGTATATCATTTTCATGTATTGAGTATAATGCAATGGAGCTCTTGTTCATTACTGTAAACACACAGACATATAACCAATTTAAATGAAGTTGTTCACCTGCTCTTTTAAGTGATAAACTAAATGGTTGTCTGTCTTTCTTTGCCAAAACCGCTAATGGTGAGCTATAATTGTTTATAGTCTGCTGGCGATATTCACATGTTGGTGAAATCTTAAACGCAGACAAGCTTGGTTTTGGCTTCATTTTTAGCCCTTAAATGGATGTGGGCACAAATTATTTCATCATTTCCATATAAAACATCAGGTTATACTGGCAATGGAAAAACACAGGAAAAAAAGTAACACTAGCACAGTAAACACATATTAACATGTAAATCAACACCACCAGTGCTAACTTATGTGATGAATGCTAATGACACAAAGACACCTTTGCCAAGTAACCTTAAGCGTTTTGAATTAAACCCATAGTCAATAAACTTTAAAGAAATATTGCGTAACTGCATAATCAACATCTAATTAATTTTTACTATTAACCAAGTTTATCACATGTTATGGCATGCAATAGAACGGTTTAATTTACCTACAGCAGCACTGTTGTCTGTGTTCAGTCATGTTATATATGTACGATGGGATAAAAATGTCCAATATTATATTTCCTAACTCATCTTAAATTCAATCGTTCCATCTGCTTGTGTACAACAGTGTACATGTGAATGTTTGATTATGATTTGTAAATGGTTTCTATGCAGATACTCATTTGTTCGAGATGTTTAATGTTTGTGAAAGAGTTATACTTCATGCTCTGGAGTCTGCTGTCCTTATGCAGAATCAGATGGGGCTTTCTGAGGTATTTGCAGTATTTGCTCCATAAGCCTTGTCTCAGAAAAGTATCTGTGTGTCTTTCCTGCATCATATAAAGGATAGAACAAAAATCACAAGAGTCATAGACTGAATTTTACAAAACACATTTATTTTTCTAAAAACAAACCAAAAGAATAAAACAATTAATAAATATACCTGAAAGAGGTAAGCTAAATAGGGCAGGTTCTCCTAAAACGTGTTAATTCTAACATCGTTAGGGATGGGAATCGTTCTTGTAGAGAACCAGTTCCCAATAATCAAATTCCTTGGAATTGTTACTCTGCTTGTCTGGAACCCGCTTATCGCTTCCAGTCGCACTTGCTCTACAGTTAGCTGAATTCAGTTTGTGTGGATAATAGTGGCACAGTCTACAGCATGGATATGGACATAGCTTTATTTTTCACTTTTTTGCACAAGAGGACAAAAGCACAGTGGTATAGTGGAAACTGCATCCTGGATGAAAACAGCTGCATTATGCATAATTTTCGCTCTTAGCAAGGACCAATGACTGTAGAAAAGACGGACGACCTGGCTGCACCTGGCTCCTATTGTACAAAAAAGGAAGCCTAAAATTTCTTGCTTGTGGGAGCTGCCATGTTATAATTTTAGAGGCAGTTTCTGCAGTAGTGACTTGAGGTGGACTGGCTGTGTCACGCTCCTGCCCACAAACCTGCTGGACATGTCCACGAACATGCCCCCCTACACTTTTATTTACACTCCATTTTATCTGCAGATGGGTTTACTTCATCTGACGACTCGTTAAATTATGCTATTATGAAAAAGAAACACTGCTAATCATCTTATAGTTCTACAACATCTAACATCACTCTGTTGTTAATTTGTTTGCTATTAGTCGTTACTATACTGTATTAGAGGCTTGTTGCTAGCTAGTTAGCAATGATGCACAGTGAGTGTGCAGTTGGATGGAGGGAGGTACAGTATCTGGGGTACCACTTGTGGGGTGGGCAGAGAAAACAGCAGCGATCGCATCCTGCCTGCGCCCCAAGACCAAAAAGGAAGTGAGACGGCCCTTGGGGTTGGTCAGGTCTGCAAACCCAGGCACCAACAGGCGGAAGTACTCCGCCAGCCCCGAGAACCCTGGGTCTGCCTGGTCCTGCCAGATTTGGCCAGTAATGCTGCACTAATGAATAAGACTAACTAGTCACCAACTATTCACTTAGCTAGCTAAAGTTATTAAGTTAGCTAAAGAGTTGGGATGCTGCGTAAGACATAAATAAACCTGAAATACAATGGTTTTGGACATTCTTTTGCATATTTCCCTACTGTAGGGGTCTCTGCAAGCATACGGGGCTCTGAGAGGGTACAGGATGACAATTTTGGAATTCTACTGGAAACAATCGATCATATTTTTAGCTAACAGCTACAATAAGCATAACAGTTACTGTTAGGTTATTTGTTTACATGATGCTTTTTCTTATACAGATAATACATTTATTAGACGGAGGTTCTGAAACGGGACTTTACTGGATTATTAAATACTGTAAACTCTCTGAATGCAGCTGTATTCATCAGTGGACCTGTACCGCCCGTCAGAGGAGGAGACGAGGTTCTTTGCACTGAATAAATGGCTTATATCAGCATGTACTGACCACTCAGTGCATTTTATCAACAATTTTAATATTTTTTGGGAATGCAGGCATCTGTTTAAAGCAAATGGATTTAATTTTAACAAGTCAGGGGTGAAACTGTTTTCCTCCAACTTGTTTTATTCCATACGTCATCCATCTGTGCTTGGTGCCAAGGCTGAGATAAATGAGGAGTTATCTCATAAAGAGGAACAAACAGTACTCCAAGAACAGACAAAGCCCAGCAGAAACCTTGAGGAGGAGCCTCATCTGCCCCCACCTGGGATGAGCTTCAGAAAGGTGAGACATCTGAGGCAAGAAGAGGGGTCCCTATTTGTCTCCACCTCTCTCAACAACAACAACGACCAGGACCAGGGACCACGACCTTCCCCAGTCCCCCAAACCCCTGACAGGTCATCACCCTCCTCCCCCTCCCTTTCTCCCTCAGATCTACTCCCCGGCCCAGTCCCTTTTTGTCCCCCATAAACCCCCCACCAGAGCAGCCAAAGGTTCGCCATCGAGCCAAAACGTATGACGCCTTTTGTATGGCCTGCTTTAACAACGTGCTAACCTTATTTACAATCAATATTGTATGGATGTAATAATGATACTAAATGTACCTCCTGACCCAGTATGAACCTTCCAGATCCCTCAGGTCATCTGAACCCGGTTTTTTATCAGTTCCCAGAGTCAGAACCAGACACGGAGAAGCTGCATTCAGCTTTTATGCTCCTTATATCTGGAACAAACTCCCAGAAAGCCTCAGATCAGCTGAAACACTCAGTTTATTTACATCCAGGTTGAAGACTCACCTGTTCTCAGCTGCATTTGAATAAAGCACCAAATCCACACTTTTAAGCTTAAATTTCAAAACTTATATTTTAACTACTGATTTTATCTACTGTTTTTTTAATCAATTTTAAATCTTGCTTTTTATTGTTTTTGTTTTTTAATGTCTCTGTAAAGCACTTTGAATCACCTTGTTGTTGAATTGTGCTATACAGGGAGTGCAGAATTATTAGGCAAATGAGTATTTTGTCCACATCATCCTCTTCATGCATGTTGTCTTACTCCAAGCTGTATAGGCTAGAAAGCCTACTACCAATTAAGCATATTAGGTGATGTGCATCTCTGTAATGAGAAGGGGTGTGGTCTAATGACATCAACACCCTATATCAGGTGTGCATAATTATTAGGCAACGTCCTTTCCTTTGGCAAAATGGGTCAAAAGAAGGACTTGACAGGCTCAGAAAAGTCAAAAATAGTGAGATATCTTGCAGAGGGGTGCAGCAGTCTCAAAACTGCAAAGCTTCTGAAGCGTGATCATCGAACAATCAAGCGTTTCATTCAAAATAGTCAACAGGGTCGCAAGAAGCGTGTGGAAAAACCAAGGCGCAAAATAACGGCCCATGAACTGAGAAAAGTCAAGCGTGCAGCTGCCAAGATGCCACTTGCCACCAGTTTGGCCATATTTCAGAGCTGCAACATCACTGGAGTGCCCAAAAGCACAAGGTGTGCAATACTCAGAGACATGGCCAAGGTAAGAAAAGCTGAAAGACGACCACCACTGAACAAGACACACAAGCTGAAACGTCAAGACTGGGCCAAGAAATATCTCAAGACTGGTTTTTCTAAGGTTTTATGGACTGATGAAATGAGAGTGAGTCTTGATGGGCCAGATGGATGGGCCCGTGGCTGGATTGGTAAAGGGCAGAGAGCTCCAGTCCGACTCAGACGCCAGCAAGGTGGAGGTGGAGTACTGGTTTGGGCTGGTATCATCAAAGATGAGCTTGTGGGGCCTTTTCGGGTTGAGGATGGAGTCAAGCTCAACTCCCAGTCCTACTGCCAGTTTCTGGAAGACACCTTC